CTTTTCACCTTATATCACGCATATTCTCCCACTAAATTCAGGTCAACAAGAATCTCAATGCGCCTCTTTATCTGGTGACATTTCCCTAAATACCACCAACTCACTTTCGGAAAAGAATCGCACAATCCAAGACCTGAATTGTTAGATAAAATGTACTCTTAAAAGTCACATGCACTATTTAAATAATTATGGCTACCGGCGTATACGTATGCAATGGGAAAAAAAAAACCCCAAAAATTTGATTTATTTTTTATTTTCTTGGTTACGGCGCAATTTCCTTGTATATAAAATTTACTTGCAATTTTTCCTACAAAGGATAACAAAGAATTTGATACATGCGCTATTGGAAGGCGGTGCGAGATAATTTCAGCATTTTTATTCGTACGGGTAAAAATAAAATAGAGATTACAAGCAGATAAGGTCGGTATTAGAATTAATAAGTTGCTTGCGTGATTTGACGATAGCCTTTTCTTTACGCCGCAGAGTTCCCAAGATCATCGTGAAGATGCGCGTTTTATTACATTTTCACTGTACTGTATGTCACATCTTTATGATCAAATTTGTCATATACAGTATTAAAGTACATACGTTTAATGAAGTTACTGTATAATAAATTAAAAGTGTCTTTTTTTTTTTTACTCGTGCATACGCCTTTTGATGTCAACTTCTCCGAGTACGTGTCCACAAACACTCTCACACATTTGGAATTTCGCAGAGACCTTAAGAAGCCAAAATGGACACGTACGTTTCTCAACCTTGAAATGGAAAATTTGGAATCATGATTCATCAATTCACCAGTAAATTAATATGTTTCAGTCTTCCCCTCACGTTGGCGTCGTAAAATAAACATGCAACAACAATTTTAATACAAAAACTCAGACACGCCTCAGCTTTTACGATAAATATTGAAAAGCCTTCTCTTCTCAAAAAAGAAATAATTACATCTTTAATGAATCATGTTTAAGCATCTCCTCGCGCAACTTACGGTTTCATCCATGGCTTCATCATCAGCCTTCTTAACGTTGGTTGTCTCTGTCCAATTGTCTCCTTAGTTCCAAATGACATACTGTAAAAGTGTATAATGCGCCAACACTTTAGATAGAGTACGCAATACGTTATGAATACCCTTATGGAAATGAGGGACATTCCTTATTTCCTTTTTACGCATCGAATATAGATCACCTGACAATAATGAATTAATGAAGGAGATTCCAAGTACGTACATGAAGGTAATTTATCATTTGGGTCATCGCAATTAACAATGTAAGCGGTCATGCGAGTTTTATTTATTGAAATAAAAAAGGAATTATTCGTATGATATCTTCACTTTTTATTGTTTTGATATTCTTGTTTTCTACTTTTAACTACATAAATCGGTAGAATGTGCCAATGTATGCAGGGTAAATACAGTGATAATTTGGTGCATATTATTGTCGAGGTCAGCAAGTTGGTCGGAAACTGTCATCTGTCATCATTTGCCCTACACGACTTTTTGTCTATTCTCGCGCATTCCGCGTCGAATGCAAAAAAAAAAAGAACATGTGAATTTCGCAAAGATCCAACTTCCTATTCTCTTTGATGCAACCAACCAAGAGAAAAAACATGTATTTTGCGATTTGCATGCAATGGTCTGATAATTAAGGATGTCATTCAGCTACAGCACGCGTTTTTTATCTCACGCTATTTTTTTACTGACACTTCATCTGTCTTACGATTTACTGTACGTGTCACGACGAAAGCAGTAATTTCAAATGGTACTAGACTCAATTACTTTGGATTACCAATTCACCATTGAAAATATCGCTGATTTTTGTGATTTCAGAGTATGTAAAGGTGGTTGTATCTTTATATATATGCGTATATATAGTCGAATCAGAATGTATGCTACATTTTTTTTTCTATGTCCTCCGATTCCGGAAAGAACGGAGAAAAAAAAGTTCGAGAAAAGAGAAAAAAAAGAAAACCGTGGAGGCGCTCGGAGATCAAAGAACGCAGGCGAATAACATCGACGATTATACTGTGACTGAAAAGGGAATTTGTGAAAGTGAAAAAGAAATGCGAAAAACCCAATCGAAATACCCCCAGCGAATAGTAATATATGATAAATAAATAAATAAATAAATAACCAGTTAAATAAATAAACTCCCAAAATAAACCCAAGAAAGGAAAAAACCCTTTTACGCGTCATTTTATTTTTTATTTCTTTTTCTTCTTTCTCAATAATAAAAATATGTGCAAGGTAGAAAATCGTTTTTTCAATGAAAGTATTGATGATGGTTCGCGGAACCATTCATGTAATTTTGACACTCGAATCCAGCGAGTATCTCATCAAGAGATGGGTTACCGACCACAGAGTTTGTGGGGTTACCGTTAACGCCACTTCCGCTATTTTGGTGAATATACTGGTAGAGCGCGGTTCTCGCATTGGAGGCAGGAGAACCGTTCAACGGCGTGACGGAATTGGCGTGAGGTTGTTGATCATGGTGGAGCATCGCCTCCGACATCATATGTTGCTGCGTCTGTATCACTTCGGGAATCAAGCAGCACAACGGGTCAATTGGGTGTGAAAATCCGTTGGCATTGTAGAAGGGGGTCAGCCCGTTGACAGAAGCGAACGGGAAACTGTGATTGTTGCCATGATGATGTTGAGGCGGTTGGTACGCGTGTGGATGCAAATATTGATCACCATATTGACGGATTTTATTGAATTCGTTATCGCGCAACTGGATTTGATGAGGTGAAATCGGGGTTATAGGGGTGATCGGTGTGGTTGGTGCAAGTGGTTTTTGCGAATTGACGAATTCCTCGGGGTTTTCCGTGAACAAGGGAATCTCAGGACTCGAAAGAATTGTGTAAGAATCATTATGCGAATGAACATTGTGTTGCTGAGGCGACATGCTGATTGATGGCGGTTGCGCGTCGAATACATTTAAATTGGTCACCGTCTCAGGGGAGGGAGAGTCCGAAGTCTTTTCGGTGGAATTCTTCGTGGATTTTCTCCTCACCGGACCGGTGCTGATGGGCGAATCCTTTTTCGATGAACGCCTCCGTTGCTTTCTCTTATCAACCTTGGAACGGTTTTTGTTGGGACAGTATACATAATTTGGGTAGGTTTGCATGTGTTCCAACTTCTTCTGATCCGCCAACCTTTCCCACATTAGGATGGTCTCGTTGGATTCGCTTTTCCACATGTCGGAGATTTTTTTCGAAATTTCTGCATTCGTAAGATGCTTGTGAGAGGCGATGATCCCTGGTTGTTTGGCTTTTCGATACAAGATAAATGCATTCGGTGGTCTCGGTGGTGATTTCTTGGATGGTTGCCGTGCCTTACCACCATCCTCGCTGCTGCTGTCGAGTGAATCGGGAGCATTCTGTACGGTGCTCTGGTCATTTCCAGTTGCAGCACCAGCGGACAGAACGGTCACAGGGTAATTTGGAGAACGTGGGACGCAATCCTGTGGCATAGATTGATTGCATATCTCCAGTGAACCGACGGTATTTTGAGAATTTGACGTGGGAGGTACGCCAGCGTCATCGTTGTTTATTGATAACCTGGATACTATTGGCACATCGAACATTAAGAGTCCACAATGTTTCTTTTTCGCTTCAATGTCCATTATCGTTATTTTCCTTTGAAGAAAAAAAAGAGAACGAGTTGAATCAAGAGAATGTAATATGAATTAACGAAGGCTAATTAGTTAAATGAAGACTCTGACGGGAAATTTTTCCGTCAGACAGTTATGTAAGGGGTGGCTCCAGTTGGACTGTCGGTAAAGAAAAGAAAAGAATGGGTTTATGGTCCCCGAAGGTAAATTTGGTTGTCTACTTGAAATGGAAAAAAGAAGGAAATTTGAAGAAGTTATTTATATAAAGATTTCATGATCGTCTTTGCGTCTCTAAGAAACTTATTGTACAATATTTATTGTTTTACTTTGTGCGACATTGCCCATATATGGACTTCAAGGAATGTTTATTAAAAAAAATTTTTTTTTTGATTTGATTTTTTTTTTTTATTTATTTTTTACATAAACTAAAATTAAATGTGACAACACGAGAACCCTAAAAAAGTTCCATGTGGCAAAGATGATATAATGAATTGCATATACGGAAGAAAAAATCCAATTAAAAAGGTAATGTTAAAAAAGTGAATTCAGCACTTAAAATTGGCGTTTCCTTTTTATTTTTAATTACATTAATATTTATTTATTATTTTTATGATGTGAGTATTAAGAGGGGGATCGTTATTCTCCCATGTAGTTGATATATTTACTAAATGTGAGAAGTCAGAAAAAAAAGGGTCCTGGATCTTTTTGTACTTTTTTTTTTTTAATGCTACCCATAATAACCGATTCAACCGAGTTTTTCTCATTGATTAATGTGTTTTTTTGACGAATTTTTGTGATAAGTAAAATCACGTGGTGGAATCTTGAAGTTTCGGTGTCAGATGTTCCTGTGGGTCCACTTTTGTATGTGCGTACTCGCTCGCGATTTATAAAAATGAATTTGAAAAGGTCACACGTATCAAATTAATTGGCATCCTTCTTTTACCGATAAAGTAGGCATCAAGCTATTAAATTATAGAAATATTATAAAAAGAATATAGAGAACACAATTGATTCATGATACGCTTTTCTCACTCTATCCCAAGATGTTCTAATTGATTTATTTATAAATGTTCAACAAAACAATATATAATTTCATGAATTGGAAACAATAAAATTAAGTATCGCGCATATATTGTCGAATCAGATGAGCAGGTGCAAGTTCCATTCGGAGGTGAGATTTAGTCATCATCTTATAAACCATTTCTCTTAGCAAAAACTTTCCAACTACGGACAGCTTGTTTTTCTTGGCGCATGCAATTAATATTTTAATTCCTAGTTTCAGTTCTATACGGATTTCCAAGGGCAACAAAAATGATGGTGTGATAGTCGTAAATGGTGTGGCTTTTTTTATACCAGAAATCTTTGAATGGAATTCTTGTGGCGCATAGCACTACAATGACCTCTATAGTTGTGGCTAATGACGTAATGTTTCAAAATGGGAGGTCATTATTCCTTCTAGAAGTTGACCCATTGTTGATGTCCGAATTTATCGATCTTCCGTGCATCAATGGTAAAGATCACGTGATACAACAACGTTTTTTTACACAGCCTCAGCCCTGATATAGGTGAACACACACACACAATATATCTTATTCAATCCCATTCTCTCCTTTTACAATAAGGTTCATTGTTTAGAGGTATAATATAAAAATTTTTCACAATTTTCTTGTGTCTATTGTATGAATACTACCTACCATCCAAGAAAATCAGCGCACGGTTTTTTTTTTCCTTTTCTCACTACTCGTTATCTTCCAGTATACGACAAATAGGAAATTATTGTACACATCATTAATCGAATTGTTGTCTAATTTGTGATCTTGTCAGGATGCCAAATGCCTTATTGTGTTAAGGTGAACTTAAGAAGGTGTTCTTGTCATAAATCTTCTGTATTTTATTACAGAATTAAGTAAGAAAATAAATAAATTTTGAAAGAAAAAAGGAGACATTTCTCTGCAAATTGAATCACAGTTTATTTTGCGATCGTGAATGTGTCAAAAAGGTTTGAGAATACGCCAGGCATAATAAATTTCCATTTGGTGTGGTGTTAACTCTTTAAGCGTGATCAAATTGCGGTCTCAAAGTCAAATTCATAATTTTACTGATTTCGCATGATCCCAATACTTGCTTGATAATTAATCGGTTAATTAATTAACTTACAAATCCATTTCCACGTGTTCGTTCATCTTAACCCTATCAGTCTGCGGACGCCGTTCTCCGGTCTTTCCGCATCATGAACTGCGCATGCGACGGACACAATCAACTATAGTCAACAGACATTCGGATTAGTCGAGATAAAGTCATTCACGCGGAATAGACCCCGCCAAAGCGGAAAGCTGATGCCCGTTTAACATGCATTTCTTTTTTTTCTCATTTCGGGTCTTTGAAGATGGCTGGGGCCTGATTACGCATCCTCGTGCTTTTTATGTGTATAAACTGGGAGAGCCTCATGCCAAGGGTCTTGTCGCACGGCGGGACCCAAGAATTTCGAAAAGAGTCGTTGACAGTTTTCCCAACGGTTACGCACAAAGGACTATTGCATGAAGATCTCGACGATCATCAAGCATGAAACACAATCCTGATGCATCTCACTCAGATGAAACACGAGATGATGAATTGTTTGGCCAAGTACAGGAGATAATTGGAAAAAAACCTACCTTGTGAGTGTGAAGTGTCACCAAAATAGTATGTGGTGATACGAAACTACAGAAATCTTTGTTGTTCCTAAAATCCCTCTACATTTCCATATTCAAACACGGCGCATGGGAGAAGCCGCGAAAACAAAGAACGTTGAAGACATCTAATAATGTTTTCATCGTTAATCTTCACATCAAAATCAATTATATAAGTCGTCCATCCTCCCCTTTCGACAATTCATTCCAACATTTTCTTTTGACAAGAAAAAAAAAACACCTTCCCTAAAGGAATCCCCTAAGCAAGACTACTTTACAATATAGTTTTTGAAGCTGTGCTTCATTCACATCCACTTTCTCAAGATATTCGCTAGTCGAACATCGTAAACTTGATATATCAAAACTTCTGTAAAATTTTAACAACAACAAAAAAAAAAACTTTCTCAAACATGTATTTCTCGATTCCTAAGAATTTGGACTTTTCGGTCATCCTCCCGATTCTCTTGCTTCTTTTTGTTAGCGATGTCTTGGGGCACGGTCGTATGCTAGATCCACAGATTAGAATTCCTCCAGGAGATCAAAATAATGGATTCACTCTCTCAAACGGTCCAACCAGAGTTGAACCTTGTGCCGGAAATCCGCAAGGTCCTGTGTTGAGCAACTTTCAATCTGGTCAAGTCATCCCAATCAAGTGGAAGATTACCGCTGCTCATAAAGGCAATTGTAGTCTTCAGCTTTCCACAAATGGCCAAGACTCGAACTTTCAAGAACTCAAATTCTTTCCTAATTGCGCGGATACCACCGGTGATTTCTCCGACACTGTGAAATTACCTGACGGTGTTTCATGCCAACATGGTACCATTCGTTGGGTATGGAATGCACTACTTACCAATGAATTATACTTAGACTGCGCCGATGTCAGTATTGGTAATGGTGGTAATAGTGGTGATACCACACCTGTAACAACGTCGGCAGCATCGGTAACGTCCGCGCCTACAACGACATTACTGACAGCTACATCATCGGCCACCGCAACTCCAGGGATAGTCGGAAAGAGACAAGAATCCGACAGAAGGAAAATGAAGATGATCAGAATGAAACGGAGAAAACCATAGGAGGCAAAGCAAATAAACGCAATAAGTAAAATGGAAACAGAAGTAAAAACGGTCTTTTTCATTTAAAGAATAGGTTCCATTGTATTATTATTTATTCGATAGTGGTTGTATTTTCTATTCCTTGCTTAGGGCATTCCATTGTTGTATAAAATATAAAAATAAAATAAAAAATAAGTCTTATTCAAAAAATCTCGATTACGTAATGCAATAATTGCCTACTCCGCCACATGCTAAATATGCTATTAGTGACAACATGATCTCGTCAATATGTGACACAAATCCCAAATTATTGAAACGCGTTTTTGAATGACCTTACTTGTAAAATAAGGTCTATTTCCCTTTAAAAATAAAATAAATGTGCTTACAACGCGTGATCTATTGCATATAATTTTATGCCATACATGCTATCATAATGGTCATTTTACATCCTGTAATAAGGACAGAAATTTGTAGGAACATGGATCAAGTGTTTCCTCTCACACTTTATTTTTAATAGATGTTATGATTAGAATCTAATCACTTCATACGACCTTTCTTGTTTTCCAAATCGAAAGAACAAGATTTACTACGGAAAGATGTATGCATCCGTGGCCTTAATGTTGATTCTCCGGTCGCGTGTTTATTGAAAGCGACGGAAAATTCCGTTTTCCTCGTGAAAGAGAAAAAAAAATCTTGTGGTTGAGAGTACCATGTCACAAAAAAGAGCCGTGTTCTTAATAAAGTCAAATGGGAATATTATTACCGTAGGTGTTTTATTTGGTGTATGAAAACGCCCTAAACATGAACGGGTCAATTTTAATTTATGCAAAGCCCAAACGGCAACGATAACAAGGACAATGCTTAGCCTTGAAAAAAGAAAAAAAAAAGCTCATGTCTCCTTCAATAGACGGTCAATGGATTAGTAATTTTCAAAACAATTTGTAAATAAAATTTGTTTTCATTGTATCTATAGGGACTCGCTAAAGTCTAATGTCATTGGTGACTGGTCAAAGTCAATTCGAAACTCGATAACCTTAAATTCAAATAGTAAACATTCCTGATTAGAATGAGCATCGAAAATTTCAAGATACGATTGGTGAATCCCACTTTGATTAAAAAATTCTCGCAGAATAGAATAAGTTCATTCTCGTAAACGCCAAGGTATGGGGATAATAAATTCCGTCACAAAACTTTGAATGTTTTGTTTGATAATCACCTTTCCGTACTACAAGACCCTCCTTAACTTTGATTATAAACATACTACTTTCAATAAGGTTAAATGATTATTGAAACATTAAAGTATCGAGGATCTTCTAATACACCGCGCATATACAGCATATACAGTATCATGCATACAATATACTGTAATATACTGTATGTGTTGAGATATTGAGGTGTTGCACATACTGTATATAATACGGTACAAAAAGATGTTATACCGTATACAGTATTGCATATAGTGTATGTAATTGCTATATTTTAGTTTATTAAAATAATAAATACGTAATACTTTACATAAAATGAAAATACAAAGTAAAAATTTATTATAATAATATATCAACAAATCTATTTACTATATACAATATAAGTATTGCATATACAGTGTGTTTTTATTTCTTACTCAAAATTATTATTGTATTACACGAAATCAATTAAAAATTGAAATTTTTTTTATTAACGTAAAATTAATATTCGATTTTGTCTTTTTTTTTTTCAATTTATAATTTATATACTGTATATGCACTATATATTTATTTTTTAAATAAATGCTTTAATAATTTTATTTGTATTTATTATATATTGTTTAAAATAAAAACTATTATATTGTTAATAAAATACTGTATTAATTAATATTAATAATAAAAAATAATATTATAATAATTAATATTAAGAAAGTTATTAAAAAACAATTAATTTTTTAATTAATATTATGATTTATTTATTTATTTTATATATAACAAGAATATCTTTGTAGCTAATTATATTTTTTTTAATATTTTGTAGCCTCTCTTTAGCCACAATACAAGCTGTAATATGACATGATATATTTTTGATCAATTATTTATAGTATGCCAAATTAATCTCATTCCAACATTTTAAAACACAATTCTTTAAATTATTAGATTTGATCTTGCAAATCTGAACTTTAATATAATGCCAGAAGTTTTTGATCAGGTTAAGATCTGGACTTTAAGAAGGCCAGTCTATAATCTGAATATTTTTATCAGTAAGAAATTTTTTTGTAATTTTTATGATATGTGACCTTGCATTATTATGTTAAAATCAAAGGCAGTTATTATGATCCCAATTAGTTCCATCAAAATTTCGAAGGACTGATAGAAGATAATCTTGGAGGATTGTGATATATGACTTTGCTATAAGGGAAAAAAGATAAGTCTAATTTTTTTTATTTATTTAATAAACTAATTTTATCTTACCTTTAACCAAGGTATGAAGAAAAACAAGGGGGCCAATACTGAATCATAAAAAACATTTCCAATACATATGACTTGGGCTATGGTTAATGGTGACAAAAAGGTATTTAATATTTCACTCTTTACATGGATTATATCAAATATAATATTTACTCCCTTGTTGAAATTAAGTAAACATAAACTCATTACTCCAGACTATACATGTGGTCGTATTACTATAAAAGGAAATTTAATCAATAATATTATTCTGAATTAAATACTGTTATAGAATAATTAAATTCTATAATATAATATTATTTTTATATATTTTTATATTATTATTTTATCTTCTTTTAACATTATTTTATTATTATTTTATAAAAATATTATTGAAAATATTAATAACCTATCTGATTATAGTCTAGTGGACTAAAACAGGATAGGGCTAACCTATAAACTACGGTTCAATCCTAGCTGGAGGCAATTCACATATCTCAAATGTGAACTTTGTGTCACTGCTCCTATAACTCATAATAAAGAGTGATTTGGATTGTTCCGGCAATCAAGGAACCTTATGGATAGATTACACCCTATAGGTCAAAAAGATAGATAATGTGATTGGTAAACTTTCTTATCAAGTATTGCCCGAAAAATATTTCCAAAAGGGGAAGAAGTTTCATGGGATCTTTCTGGTAATAAAAAGAAAGATATAGATGGCTAAACCATTAATCACACAACTATCAATAAGAGTTTCATATATTCAATAATAGCAAGGATCCAGTCGGGGGTGCAGGAGATTGCTTGTATCATAGGATGTTCTATTCTAAGGGATACACTTGCGACAATTGACTACATGACCCTATAAAACGTAACCTCCCACATATGTTGCTAGGTTAGATTAGGAAGGGTAAGGTTGGGTTCGATTTTCAGACGAATTTGATGTACTGGTATATTCTTATCCTACCAATAATATCTTATTGACTAAAATTCTAGTAAGTTTTGGCTAAACTAAATGATTAAAAAACTATAGTTGGAATTGCAGACATTGATCGTCAAGGCAGATAGCAAGGCCTGCTTGTCTTGATGTAACACTTATTCACTTCCAATATGTCTATACTTAGAGGCTTAGGCCTAAGACAAATATTTAAAACCAACTATCATCCATATATTTCGAAGAAATATTAGAAGATTAGCAACGGTAATACTAGGTACCTGATTTGGCTGCAGGTTAAACAAAAAAAAAATTATTAAAAATATTAATTATAGGAAGAAATAACATTATAATTCAAGGAAATGGACGTCGGAGATCACGTGATCACGTGATTGACTCATGAAATTGTGAAAATCCTTTGAATTTCCATAGATTTTATATGGTGAACAATCTTTGAGACAAAATATCTCTTTATTTTATTAGTTAAATATTCAAAGTCACTCTATCAAACTATAGGTAAAATCATGTATAGAACATAGTTACTTATAATCACTAAAGCTCTATAGATAATAGAATCATTAATAATTTAGAAATTTTCATTTTGAAACGAAAAAAGAATTTGTAAAAAAATATCTTTAATATATGAGCAAAGAATAATTATACAACTTCAAACTGTATATAAAAATAGCCATTTCACTCTTCTGGTCAAACAACAATTACTTCAACTTCCTTTACCTTTATAATTATATTATTTGACCTTTATTTCCTTCCTAATTTCTTTAATAAAA